ATTCCATGTCTAACAAAATTCTATGTGAGATTTGTCTCAGAATTTATCATTTTGTATTTATTTATACTGCTTTCATCCCTGTTTAAAATTTCTTTTCTGTTTTAATTATTGTCTTTCATTCTATATGAATGTGTCTCACAATTTTGTCATTCCAGTGTTGCATAATGAGACACACCTTGTGCTATATATTGATATTGATTTGGTAAGCTAGATATACTTTGTCAGTAAGTCACTTTTTTCAAAATAGTTATGACACTTTATAGACATTTTAGACTGGAACCTGTCAACCTTAGTGTAAATCATGTGTTATATACCTATCCATATGTGAATCTGGTGAGTTTTTATATTTCTCTGAATCCCCTGTCCTTTTCTACAAAAAATACAACAATCCTGCATGTATTAAGTCATCTTCTTTATGACTTTTTGACTACCACTGTTACTACAAAAATATGAGTTTAAAAGAGAGCACAGATAATAATTTTCAAGCATATAAGTCTGTATTTTTTACTGTAGTAGATATTCAACAAAATCTTTTTTTCTCCTATTTCTTGACACATATTTAATAAGTTTAAAAATGTTGACAAGTATAAGCCACTCATAATTTTTGAAAAGTGCAGATAGAAAATAAGTTGTCAAAACAAATTGGCAGAATCATACTAGAAACTACACTTTTCTATATTCCATTCTAACTGTTCTGTGAGTCTTAAACATTTCTTTCAATATGCCAACATAAAGGATGTCATATTTATTTTCTTCTTATTCTTCTTTTAGAATTCTGATCCTTATCTGACTCATTTTGCCTCCATTTTTATGTGTGTGAGATTCAGGCTGTGAAAAAGGTATCTTAAGACAAAACCAAAGCACTCTTCCAAATGTGCTTCCTCCTGGAATCCTACTTCACAAACCACTGCCAGCTGTATAAAAATGGGGGATATTCAACTGACTGTCTACTCCTACTTGCTTTATTAAGATTCTTTGAATTTTATTTTAGAATTGTGCTCAAATTCCTACATACTTTTATGTGACTTTCCTTACAAAGCACTTAAATTCATGCCCTTCCTGCTGGATTACCACAGTCTGTCACATGTCTGCACAGAAAGCTTCTATTGTTGTTCCCTCCATTGAGTCACTCAGTGTCTCCAATTCCTCAAGCAGAAAACATGTTCCAATTTCTTGAGTATATTCATCCAGTCATCTTTTCCAAAAATGATTACTTATCTGTTCTTCAAATTCTAAGCACAATCCCATTGCAATATCAAACTCCTGGCCACCAACTTTAAGTCAAGTTTGGTGATTAAATAGACATCAAGTTATGCTTTCACCTGCACGCTTTAAAATAAAATTTATTATTAAGCTTCATTGCACTCACCTATGGTTATGTGTTTTAAAATAAACTTTTCCTGAAATGATTTCTTAAAAATGAGAATTAATCCTATGAAGTTGATATTTGCCAAAGCTATTAAACACATTCACAGTACTCAAATGAAGATCAAGGGTAAAATCTTGGCAAGACTCAATGATTTAGTAAAAAGTTCAATATTTGTATATCTTTCTCAGACAATGAGATATCACTCCTCCATGTTCACAGAGGTGTTCCTCTACAAGATTCTGCATTTCATACATTTCCATATGAAAATGAAAATAAAATACTTAATCATAAATCAGACATTATTCATATCTTTACTTATTGAAAACTTCTTTGATTTAATAAAGATATATTAATTATATCTAAAACTATGACATTTTATGCAAATTATTCTAGTTTCTAATTAGGGAATGAGAATTTCATTCAAAATTTATACTAAGTAACCTCTAAGAAGATAAACATTTTTTGTTAAGAAGGACAAGTACATGTAGTTTAGAGAGTCTCTCAAGACTGGATCAGACTCAGGGAACAAGTTGAATTTAAAAACAAGGTAAATTGAGCTTGGGAAATCGCACCTTAGAGAATTGTGAGTGGGTGTTTGCTGACAGCTGAACACCAGAGTGCTGGGAGAAAATTCCTTCTTCTTAATTCATAAAATAATTACCTTAAATCATTAAGCCATGTGGGAAATTGGAGAGCGTTAATTTTTTGTTCCTTCAAAAGCATGATCAACTCATCATAATCAATCTACATATTTTAATACATTTTGAACTCACTATTAAAAATATAAAATTTTTACACTTTAAAAAGTACTTATATTCTACATCAGGGGGTTTTATTTTGGTTGTTTCTTAAATTGATTCACCATACAGCATATATATCTTATATTGTGTCCTTTCTGTTTTACTTTTATTTGCATGCTTCCACATTGATTAAAATTTATAATGCACATATATTTTCAGTGGGACAATTATAGTATTTTTGAGTATATGATGCGTTTTTATTATAGAAGCTCTGTAGTAACATTGGAAGGAAATACCCTCTTCTATTTATTGTCAAAGTTGGCCTACTGTACTTGTGTTTTTGTAATGGTTAGGGCTAATAATTTTCTCTTTGGTATATAAATATGATCATACAGGTCTCCATAAGAAACAGTTAAAATCAACACTTGAAACAGTCACTGTGGAAATTTTTGGAAACAAGGGAAATAAGGTCTGAAGATGTTACCCTTGTTAGCATGAACATTGTTCCAAGAGCAAAATAAGTGCTCAAGCTCTCTTCTTCCAGACATAAATCTAGATATTTCCAAGCATCTGTTAGTGACTGTGATAGTGAGAGTCAAGCCCTCACTCCTAGGTACCAGCTACACTGCTGTGCTGAATGTCATGACACTAAAGGGCTATGAGGGGTGGCTCACTATACATTCATTCATTGTATTGTCTGGAGAAAGTTCTCTGTCAACCTACAGGAAACAAGATACTGACAAGGACACATTAGTTCCAAACAATAGCGCTCTATCATAGTCCCAGCCCTGGCATCTTCTGCTGAGATGAATTGAAATATATTATCAAAAAATGAAAAACTAATAAATTCTTGAATTTAACAGAGGAGAATGTCTTTCAGAATTCAGAGACAGAAAAATGTGGAAAATCAATTCTAAAATCATTAGAAAAGTAATGCAGTGGATTACAATAACATGCCTTTTCTTTATAACAGAGTAAAATTAATGGAAAACACGAAAATGTTTTCATTACATATAATGACTGATAATATCCATAATCTCTAATTTAGTAAATATAAATTGCAAGTAAATTCAAATGTCATATCTAAAGTTTTGACAAAATAAACAAATTTATCAATATATTAAAGACTTTATTGGAACAATAATCATAAATATCAAAAAGAAAGCTAAAATGAAGTATTCTACAATTAGAAAGTAAGTAAATGTGATGTGTTATGATAACCCTAAATGATGAAGAGGAGAAAGTACAACATAACTGCATTTTCAAATTTTGTTATTAAACATGTAAATTAATATAATGACTTTGAAATACCGAGAGCTAAACATATGCACAGTGCTCACAACATAAAGCTCATTTAAATGAATAAATTATATACTGTCCAATAATATTTAGGTACACTATGCTACAATTTTAAAATTAAAAACTCAAAATAATCACACTATACAAGGATATACACAGAATCTGGAATATTTATATGGCAAAATATTAAACAGAAACAACACTAAATTCACTACCAAATATATGAAATTTCAATAGTAATATTGGTAATTTTAAAACATGATAGGTGAAAAAAACACCAAAATATTTCATTACCTTAGTTTGTCAAAACACCAAAATATTTTATTACCTTAGTTTGTCAAGAGGAAATAAGTGGAATTTAGCAATCACTATGTTTAGGTAGAAAAATTTGTAGATAAACAAGTTTATTAATCTGATAAAAATCTTACTATAACTATTGCTGAGAGTTGGAGGTCAGTAATTTTTGGGACTTGAAAATTTCTATATATTGATCTACTTGGGAGTAAAGTGGTCGTTTAACAAGTTCTTACAATGTATTTTAAAACATAAGTGAAGACTAAAGAAATTAATCAAATTCATATTTTTGAAAGAGATTTTTCATATATATGTAAATACGTAAAATAGAAACTACTAGTAATGATTTAAGGAGATAAACAGATTCTAAATTTTTAAACAATGAACAATCTGTAATTGCTTATATGACCTTAGGAGAAATAGGGAAGTAGGTCAATTATGGATTAATTACTCTGGAGGAACTGTATTAAGTTCACTGAATACAAACATGAAGAAACAGTCAATGTTGTAGTAATGAACAATATGACTTAATAATATGTTTGTGAGAAACAATGGATGTTATACAAAATTTCTCTATTGTTAAAGTAACTACGAGGATATAAATATCAGTCGCTGATAAAGAATAAATAAATTATAGGGCAAAATATGAAATTTAATGGTTATGGTCTTGTGTCCATAAATAATTTGTATAAGCATTATGCAAAGCGAATTGAATTTTATCCTTGATTATCAGCAATATTTAAACAGTTAGTAGTGAAATATAAGAAAAAAACACGTGATGTATATAGATAGTAGCTAATATTTTCAAAATCAGTTTGTTGAAATTCTGGTCAGGTTTTCATAATTAAAGGCCAAGGTCCTCATTTTATTTGAAATGTAGTATTACAATGAGAAAAGGACTGTTTTCTAGAATTTTTTGATTATGACATATGTGTTCCTCAATATTAATCCTGTAATTTCAGCTATAATCTGTGTTCACTAAAATTTCATTAAGCAGAGTTTAAAGTCAAAACATGAAGCATGATCTCCTATATACATATTTCTTCACTGATGCTTCTATAGTGTCTGGTGGGTAGATGCTGCAATATAATTAATTCAGAAACTCAGATGAAATGGATGATTGCATTATACTATGTCACCCAGAGAAAAAATAAGTCCATCTAAACACTGAAAACTATGATGCTTTTAAAACTTTCACTGATTACATGATAATAAAAATTTACCAAAAGCTACAATATCCAAAGTAAGGTACATGAAAATATGAGACATAATTAAGACATAAAAAACATGCATTTGAGTTATGTGGATTGAGAATGCAGTTTGGATCTGACCAGCTTCTTGACGGTGTCTTTCACATCCCTGTTCCTGAGGCTGTAGATGAGGGGATTCAGCATGGGGATCAAGACTGTAAAAAGCACTGTAGCCACTTTGACCAGGAGCCATGAGCTCTTGGAGCTTGGCACACAGTAGAGAAGGAGGACAGTGCCATGGAAGATGCTGATGGTAGTCAGGTGGGAGGTACAAGTGGAGAGGGCTTTCTGGAGTCCACCTTTGGAAGGCATCCTGATGATAGTCACAACTATGACCACATAGGATGCAAGGATGATCAAGAGGCTGCAAGTTTCAGTGACTACAGAAATGATGAAACATACCATCTGGCTTAAAGAGGGGTCCGAGCAGGACACAGACAAGACAGCAGAGTACTCACAGCCAAAGTGATTTATGACGTTAGGCTCACAGAAAGACAGCTGCACAAGCGAATATGTGATTGTCAAGGAACAGGTTCCAGCCCCCATGTAAGTTCCTGCTACCAGGAGAACACAGAGCTTAGGTGACATAGTGACTGTGTAGAGCAAGGGGTTACAGACGGCCACAAACCGATCATAGGCCATCACTGCCAGCATAAACATCTCTGTAATCACACATGCACAGCCAAAGAAAAACTGTGTCATGCATCCTCTGAAGGAAATGGTTCTGTCTTCCACAATCAAGATTTCTAGCAGTTTGGGTGTAAACACACTGGAATAGCAAATATCCAAAAAGGAAAGATGGCTGAGAAAAAAGTACATGGGCGTATCAAGTTTGGGGTTGATCTTTCTGACCACGATTATGCCCATGTTCCCCAGCAGAGTGACCATGTAGATGGTCAGGAACACCAGGAAGAGGGGTATCTGGAGGTGCGGGTATTCTGAGAAGCCCACCAGGGTGAATGAGGTCACCGAGCTTTGATTTCCTAAATTAAGTAGCATGATCCTTAATTAGGAAAAAGTAGATAAAGTGAAAGGAGTGGAAGGAAAGTATGCAGCAGAACTTGAGAACGTTGGTTGGCAGAAGCTGGGTAGAGGCTCCATATAAACCACGGGAGATGAGTGTGGTCAGCAGACATACCCAAGCTCTCTGCTTCATTCTGGAATATTCTTTCAGCACATTTTGCTCTGAGCAATAAGTTTTATTCATTAACAACTTACAGTTTTTATCTGTAAAATTGCAATATTATAATTATATATAAATCAATAATTAATATAAATAGTATGTAAATTAAGCAGGGAAAAATATATTTTGAGGAAATCCAATCATAGTGGTCTTATGATTACCAATTCAGAGTTTTTGAAAAACATTAAATGTTTTAAAATATGAGAAAATATTACAAATAATTTTGAGGGAGGACAAATTTATATTGCCAAATGTTTGGTACAGAAGACAGTGTTACAATAGAAATTCTACAAGAAAAATGCATCATATAATCAAAAACAGAATTAATCATATCACTAAAATTATGTCCATTATGAAATTTAATAAGTGAGAAAACCATTAGAATAAACGTTAAACAGCTAGGACCCAATGTAAGATTTGTATGAAATGTGATCCTAAATCAATTTAAGAAACAACCAAACCAAAACCTCATCTGTGATTAAGTACTTTTTTAAATTTTGGGAGCTTCATATTTTTAATGAGTTCAAAATTTATTGAACTATGTTGGTAGATTATTATAAGTTGACAGCTTTTGAAGAAACAGAAAATTAACAAATTACAATTTCCTACATTTGATTAACGATTTAACATAATTATTTTATGAACTAGAAGGGAAAAAATTTTCTCCCACTATTCTAGTGTTCTGCTATCATCAAACACCTAGTCCCAATTCTCTAAGATATGAATTTTTACCCTTTCTCACTTTATACTATTGCTAAGAACTGTGAAAATGTTTTCCTAAGAGGTTATTTCGATGATTTGATCAATACTTCCAGTAATAATCGTATCACTACAATTTTCTATTATATGGTTACTGATAGGCTTTAAATAATATAAAATATAACGAACTACATTCTTGTAATCAAGGGTTGAGAGGCGAACAATTAGAACCAGGGCACACAGTTTGTAATATTATTTTTTGATGGTTACCCAAAGTTTAACACAAGGTAGTGCAGACAATCTGTCCACAGCACTAAAGACACAGAATATTCAGCCTAGGGCCTGGAATGCACATTAATGTCCTACATGAGTCCAAATGAAAACCTAGAGCCCATGACGGTGCCTCCCTAGAGTCCAACTGGAGGTCTAGAGCCCATGAGAAGGACTCACACCAATCTATTTTATGGATCTGTGCAGGGGAGGACCAAAGGTCAGAAGTGGAGGCTAGAACGTCTATGCCAGCGAGTGAAGGAGCTGTGCTGGTAAGTTGTGGGTTCTACACTGGAGCTGAGAATTCATACTAATAATAAAGACCGGGGCTGTCCTGAAAAGCACTATAGACATCCTCAGCAACACAGAGGTCTCGAGCTCCTCTGACGATAAGCATAGTTGAGTACATGCCAGAAAGCCAGCGTGACTAGATACTTCTGGAGACTAAATAGCACACATCTTCCCCTCCAGGATCAATAAGTGATGCTTGATGTTAGGAACAGAGATCTCAAAGTGAAACACAGCCACTCTCACCAACAAGGTCCCAAGCTCCTTTGATGATATTGATCAAATTTACACTGGGAAAGCTAGTCATGATAAGCTCCTCCAGGAGAACCCACAGCTTAAATAGCAACACTTAGAGAAATTCACAATGTCTAACTCTCTGAAGATTCACACTCTGAAACTATATTCACAACCACGTTGTTTGTTTCACATTAAAATTTTTAACATTAGGGAACTACACCCAGGGGAATTGCAATTTGTTGTAACAAGCTCAAGCTACAAGGCAATTAGGGGAAATTTTGTTTGTTACTTAAAATTTCATTTCTTCTAAATCAAAGATGTCCTGTTATTCATGTCTTAAGGGGAAAAAGCTAACTTGAATCTACATAGAGACTATACTTCTGAAAAACATAGAGAGGAAATACAGCAACAAAAACATAGCCATATCCATTCCTGTAAACTCAAAATAACAAAGTTGAATGATGACAGACAATAGCTAAAGTCATTCTTTCTTTTTTCTTTTAGAGATGGCTTAGCATGGTGTGTAAGGCAAAACTGACAGGCAAAAGATAGTTAAAACCCATATGGGCACAGAAACATTTTTGCAATAGCATCTATATTTTAAACTACTGATTTTAACATTATGATGTAATTCTAAATCCAGTTTCTCAATTTTGTCTATGATGGCACACTGGTTTTGATTAATGATTCTGAGCATATGGCACAAACTTATTTTCATCTCTCAATGGCTGGCTTCTATACAGTGAAGCTGTAATTTTCTTAATACCTGAATGTTTTAGAGTCATAGACCAATCCATGACTGCTTCAATAGGTAGATGGGGGCTGCATTGCATAAAGAGTTTGAAAAATAGTGGTGTTCTTAATTCTAGAGACCATGTCATCATCTTACATTTCAATATAGAATTATTTCAATGGAATTCTGCAAATTCAAAGTTAGAGACTTGTTTCAATGCAAGTTTCCTAGTACTCTCGGTCATGGAATCAATGAGAAATTGATTTGGTTATTAATAGTCACTTACTACCATAATAAGTACTATGAGAAACAATAGAAGAAAATATTTAAAAAGTGTTGAAGAAGTCAAAAACTCCTTTTAAGAACATATGTTATTTTTGAACAGATGTGACAAGAAGTTTGTTTTAAAAAGAATATATGGATCCAGTCCATTATTTGAAATGATTAAATGGTTTCAAAATGAAAAAAAATGTTTTATTAATTTTAAAATACAAAAATTGAACTTGTCCTCAAGGAGTCTGAAAGAAGATAAAAGGAAACACAAACTTAGATTGTAGCAGCAAAACTCTGAGATGTTATAGTAGGAAAATATTTAGATTAATTTCTTTTTAATCATTAGCAATGTGCTATTAGAGCAAAAATGTGACTTTAAACACTAAGAAACACTAATATGTTACAGAAATGAAGATATGTAATAATGAAAATATTTTCAGAAGTTATTATTTTTAGAAGTCAATAACAACATATATAAAAATGTATAAGTACTTTAATATAGTAGGGGTATTTCAAATAAATACTTAAATACAGGGTAATAAACAATAAATTAAAAGAGTTTTGAAGTTGCTGCAAAATATTAGTTTTAGCTTTCCTCATTTTGTCTTTATTTAATTTGTATCCACACATGTACCTGTGATTATGTCAGATAGGGAACTAAAAATATGACATTCTACAGATAGATATTCAAAACGATGTACACTTTGTGTATGACAAATGTTTGAAAGTATGTAAATTTTGGTCTTCCCTCCAGAGCCAGAAAGCAATGCACCATGTGAGAACTAGAGCTTCTCTAGGAGGACCAATGGTTCAAACAGTAACGCGTTGGAGAACCAACAATACCTGAGCAGTTCAATGCATTAGCTTCTCCTCCACATCTCTATTTATGATGGCAACTTTCCACAGGTGGAACATCTACACTCAGCACCATGCTGATATAATCCAGCTGGTGTTAATTTGACCACCAGTTCTTAATCCATAATCATATGATAGCTAATTATACTACTAATGACTTGTTAGTTCATCAAAAAGAATGGATTGTGTTTTCATTGTTTGATTTTGATCAGTTTTTCATGCCTATATATTGTAATCTGAATAATTACTTTGAAGATAAGAATATGATATATTAACCATAGTTGATCTCCTATTTTTTCATTTTAAAATTAAAAAAAAAAAACAGTGAGTACTACTTTGCCATAAAGAAGGAAAAATGTGAGTCATTTTAGGAAAATGGATGCACTTGTGAGACCATATGGTTAAGTGAAATAAATCAGACACACAAGCACGGTTTCTCTTGCATGAGAAACGCAAAGTGTAAATAAAGATCAACAAAAAGATAAATGATGGGAAGTAGGGAGTGAGATGTTTTTCAAAAGGAAAGGGAACTGCATATACAGTGGGAGGCAGAGAGGGAGGGAAAGGGATGAAAAGGAATCAAAATGTGCTGTGTACACAGGACAGGAGAAAGAGAAACAGCCAGGGCTCCCAGACCAATGCCCTTAGGTTGATTCAGGGCTGAACGTAGTCCAGCCCTTGCCCGACTGTGTAAGTCATCAGAAAGTGAGCTGGAGCAACAAAAGAGGCTGAGGACAATCACACTGAGACAGCAGGAACAGGCAGAAAGAGATGCTCAATTAAACGTGAATCTGAGAAAGCCATTGCCATTAAGGCAGCATTGGAGCAGGGGTGCATCTGCAGGAAGGCCTGGAACCCATCACTCAGGAAGAAAAAGCCGGAACTAGAGGCTGCTCAGCAGCAACAACTGGCCCTGAGGAAGAGCCCTGAAGATGTGAGGCTGAGGGGAAAGTGCAAAAGAGCCTGGCAGCTGGGGAGAAAGCTGCAGGGCAGCACAAAGCTGCATGGAGAAAGTGCACTGACTCCGGGATGAATTAAAAGAGACTCGGTGCCTGCAGAGCCTGTCCAAACAGGAGTCCGCCCACCAGCTACCGAAAGTCCAAGAGGCTGTTCCCAAGTGACTACAGGAAGAGGAAAGAGCACAGGACCATGCTAGATTGGCTGCATGGCATGACAGAGGCCGCTCAGCGTGTGACTGAGGAGGCCAAGGAGGTTGTGAAAGGAGCAGAGCAGGGCGTGGCAGTCTTGAAGCAGCTGACGTGGGTACAGGCTCAGAGAAGGTACAGGTGGGGGTGGAAGCACAATAACTAGAATGGCACATGCAAGAGGAGGAGGTGGTACCGCGCAAAGAGGCAGCAGTGGACATGCAGCAACAGGACACAGGGTCCAGGAAGAACTGCAGCATCTGCAAGCAAGTTCAAAGGCTGAGATCTAAACCCAGAGGCAGCACACACAGGAGAC